ACAAGATACAGAAACCAAGAAAGAAAAGACTTCCTAAATGAAGAAACAATAACTTTTCTAAAGAAGATCCTAGTTGGTGTTCTTCAGTTGATGTAAAGATAACTTTGAAAGATTAAGAAGTCTGTGCTTGTAAGGAAGTCTTCTTTTGGGTAGAAAGATGATATTCAAGAAGTAAACTTCTTGGCTTAGTTGGTTGGATGGTTACTGAGAAGGAGGAGCTTATCAGCTATATATACTCATTGCATTAAATGCAAGTTAGACAGTACAAGGCACGTGGCAAGCTTCTAGAGGTAAGCTTGTCCTTTGTCTTCAGATATACATGCTTTTGTCGTATATGAACAGTAGTCTTTCCAAAAGTAGGTAAGCACGTTTGGAGACAATAGAGTGACTCCGTACAAGTGCTTTTTACTTTGAGAGGTATGAGTTTGTCCTTTGTGTGTAGGAGGATAAGAAAAAAACTAATCATGGTCAACAAGATTCATTTGATTGCTGACACTGGAATAACACTAGGGTTTCTTCAGTGTATGCTGAATCTTAAGTAGATTTCACACATTTGTAGACAGACTTGTTATCACTGAAACCACATCAGATCACAAACTTCTTGTCTCTGTCTTCAGTTTTATCTTCGATATCACTGAAGGTTCTTGTAGTGTGAGTTTTGTATTCTTGAAGAATACTTGTCTCTGAGAGATACAATACTTGCTCAGCGATCACTAGACAAACTCAGTGATGATCGCTGAAACTGAATAAAGAGAAAATACTTTTCGTAAGATAAAAAAGATCATCATCAAATCATAAAGAGAGAAGATCAACAGTCTCCAAAACAAAGATCAATCTTTTTAAAATTTAAAAGTTTAACGAGTTATGAACAATTTGAAGCAGACACATACATGCATGACATAATGCCATCCCAACTGGGTAGTGCATGACATAATGTCATCCCAACTGGGTAGTTATGCATAGTGGCCATTGAATAATGCTAGCAATGACCAAATGGTAAAAATGCATTTCAATTTATCCAAACAATGTCGAAGGTTAATGAAAATACGTACCAAAATTTTACTAAGCAGGCCATTATAGTCCTATGGTTCACTTAATCGTGCCAAGTAAGTTAACCGACTTACGCACAAAGTAGTGTGCAACAACATAAACATGATCATGCATAACTCAAACAAAATTTATACATAATTATGCTTTCATATCCTTCTCCATAATGGAAAAATAACATGAAATAAATTCTCAATAAAAAATTTGTATGCAAACTTGTGTAATAAAGCAATTTCATGTATTTCAAAATTTGACCCCACACTTACATGCATAAATTTATTCAACAAAACGTGTACCATATTATGCTCATGTATTTTAGTACAGGACGGAATGACTCATGCAATTCATTTAAAACAATGCATGAAACTGGCCGAGGTCCAAAGCTTTAAAGCCATGCTTACAAAACTAACTAGTTTAGCTACCAACATCAAGATATTCAAAATACTCAAAACAATAATCCATAACCATGCTAATTACACCATACAACCTTACCAAATTAACGATGATTCACAAGCCTGAATTTAATCATGACCATTTTCTTGACCCTCCACTGGTCTGCCTAAAGTAGGCACTAATACTTAAACTGTCATATAAGGTGATAACGCTACAAATACATCAAAGTTCCAATGATCAACAAATAGAATGAACTTGCTACCCCCATTCAATAATATACAAAAATACAATCCAAACAAACACTAGTAGTTGTAAATTCATAATAACACTGGCTAGGTGTGGTTGTGAATATACAATACATGATGGTCCATGTTACTATTGCCATAACTCTTGATGCTAGTCTGTCTAAGTCACCTTAAGGCATCCTATCTCATTGATCCCAATCATAATCTTTCAGTCTTTCATTTTTCTTCACTCTAGTTTAAGTTTAGGCATCTAAGATCAATACCTAATTCTCTTAAATTTATGTTCTGATACTAACTTGTAAAATCTCAAATCTTGAAAAGAACGACTAGATTAAATCCTTTGGAAAATACCAAAAACGACATGAATTTCTTCCAAAAGCAATCCTTGATGACTTACAAGGAATTATAAGGTTAAAAGTTAACAACTTTCAAATCAAATCCTTATAAGGAATCAAATGTCATAAGTACTAGAAAAGGTACTAATGAGCCAAGTTATTCACGCTCCACTACAATCACTCGTCTCATCATTAGTATCGTTAGTACTACCCACACAAAGACTCGATGCACATATTGACAAGAAAAAAATATTAGACATAATGCCTATTGAATTCAAATATTGGAGACCATTCGCTCTTGGGGTGGAACTTAATCTCGATGTGCATCGAGTCTTTGTGAGATTAACAAATATATATATATATATAGAGAGAGAGAGAGAGAGAGAGGAGCGATCAAATAAAAACCGCCTCCATTTGTGTAAACCGTGTAAACCAATCTCACTCATTCATTTTCTTGATCAATGGTTAAGTTAAGGAAATTAAAAATTTTAAAAAAATTGAAAATACATTTTATAATACCGATAAGGGTAAAAGGGTAAAACCAAATATTCATTTATTCAAGGAAATCATATCATGTATATCATATTACTAATGAAACTAATCTATTTTTTGTAAAGTAATTTATTATTTTTACGTTAACATTTATTATTATTAATTAAACTAATTTATTTTTCATCTTCAATTATTTCAAGACGAACCGTCTACATTATGCACCCGTTTCATTTTTCATTTCATCTATTGAATGGATCACCTACACCATCACTGAAACGGGTTTCACCATGAAAGCAGTTCACCACTCGTTGTTCAATTATGCCATGAACCAGTTTCACCTTCATGAAACCTGTTTCATGTAAATTAATTTTTTTATTTCACTCATGATTTGATGCATTTTTTCCTTTACTCCTTACAATCTTCAAAATTCTGGAGCAGATTACAATCTTCAAGATCCCGAAGCAGATTCATCATGTATCCGTTTCATCATGCAATTATTTCATGGCGAACCAAATAAACTATGCATCCGTTTCATGTTCCATTTTTTCTACTAAACGGATCAACTACACCATCACTGAAACATGGTTCACCATGAAATGATTTCATATTACTCATGAATCAATTACAACATGACTCAGTTTCACCTTCATAAAACCTKTTTCATGTAAATTAATTTTTTTATTTCACTCATGATTTGATGCATTATTTCCTTTAATCCTTACAATCTTCAAGATTCTGRAGCAKATTACAATCTTCAAGATCCCGAAGCAGATTCATCATGTACCCGTTTCATCATGCAATTATTTCATGACGAACCAAATAAATTATGCACTCGTTTCATATTCCATTTTTTCTACTAAACGGATCAACTACACCATCACTGAAACGTGGTTCACTATGAAACGATTACATATTACTCATGAATCAATTACAACATGAACCAGTTTCACCTTCATGAAACCTGTTTCTTTAACATTATTTTTTAATTTGAACCATAATTTACGATTTCATTCTCTAATGCAATTCAATCTTCAAGACCCGTTTGCAGATTCAATCTCATAACAATATATCAAATTCAAAATATTAATATTATAATATAATTAAATATTTAAATGTTACCATTTATACAATTTTTTTTATTACATTTCCTTAATTAAGATTTATTAATAACTTCTATATTTAATAGAAAATATTGTAAATGACCAAAATACCCTTATTGATTAAATTTAATTAGAAAAAAATGGAATTTTTCTATTGATCGAAATTGGTTTACACGATTTTTTAGAAATGCACGGCTTTCATTTGAACGTACCCCTATATATATTTATATATATATATATATATATATATATATATAATATGATGGCATTATTAAAAACTTTTATCACGAAGACAGATGACCTAACAAGTTGTATTGTTAGTTGTTAGGATAATGTTGTACAATCTAATAGTATTGAATAAGTAATATTGTTTTATTAATTTTTTTTGGGACACTTACAAAAAATGGTTTTATATATATATTTTTTCAAATGACGTTATATGAAACAAATTTCAAGAAGTTTAGATTTATATCTTGAGTCGTTTTAGGTTGTTCAATCATAACAATTAACGATAAAACTTGTTAGATCATGGGACTTCATTTTTACTACTTATTATGCAGAGGCTGATTTATAATTCTCTTTCACTGGTGGCACAAAATAATTATGATAGCATGATATAAAATAAAAATTAATTATAGTTACTACATACAGTATAAAACACTAAAAATCAGTTCCATTTCATTGATTTACAATCTGATTTTTTATATTCCATCATTATTAACTATTAAAACTTAAATTTAAGCCTCAATATATGCTATTATAGCTTCTCATTTTTCCAGTTGTAACATAACATGAAACACAATATATAGTTGCACCGATAAGGACCACAAAAAATACACTATGCTAGAACAATTATGTGGTAGCACAAGACCTCATACCCTTCTTCTTGTCCCCTGGCTTACGCACAATTGTTGGTCCAATAAACTTAAAGTTCCCATTAATTATGGACGTTGTACATCTTAGCTAACAAGCCTATTTTAACAATTGTATTAAACACGGGTGGATATATATATATATATATATATATATATATATATATATAGAAGTGGTTGCACAAGATAGCACTAATATATTCTCGACTTAATGTAAAAACTACGACGACCTTTCACAGGTAATGCACCACTAGACATTGTCGGCGAAAAAAATTGAGAGGCAACAATAGCACATCAAAGCTTAAATTTGAGTTTTAATGGTGAATAATGGTGCAACACAAACACTGTTACTGTTACTGTAAATCATTGAAATTGGAATTGATTTCTTGGTTTTCTGTAGTTTTTTAAGTTGTAACTATAATTATATTTTATTTATTCTATCCTAAGGTAACTATTTTGTGCTACCACCATAAAAAACACTTCTGAATAAATGGTTATTGTTTGCAAAACTGGTAGGCTTATGTGACCCAAGAGGACATACTATTTGGAACACTGACAGTGAAAGAAACTCTCACATACTCAGCAAAACTAAGGCTACCAGAAACCCTAAAGAAACACCAAGTTGATGCAATTATTAATGAGGCGATTATGGAAATGGGTCTTCAAGATTGTGCTGAAAATGTTATTGGCAATTGGCATTCGAGAGGAATAAGTGGTGGTGAAAAGAAGAGACTTTGCATTGCACTTGAAATCCTCGCTAAGCCAACCCTCTTGTTTCTTGATGAACCCACAAGTGGTCTCGATAGTGCCGCCGCCTTCTTTGTTATTCAGGCGCTCAGAACCATGGCTCGAGATGCTAACCGAACCATAGTCTCTTCGATCCATCAGCCGAGTAGCGAAGTTTTTGCACTTTTTGATGACTTGTTTCTGTTATCAGGTGGTGAAACAGTCTTTTTTGGCGAAGCGAAAATGGCGTTAAAGGTGCAAAATATTTGTATTTACACTGTATTATAAAATATTTATTTACATAAATGACCATAAACATTATCTTTTTAGGTAACTTACATTGTCATCTAGCTTATCAATGACTTTATTACCTAATAGCTAGTTTACAGTCAACAACTATCTTTTCAACTAATAATTCGTTTATCCGCTAGTTCTCACCCAACCTAACTTATCAGCTAATAGCTAGCTTATTAGTAAATAGTTTACTAAACAAAAGCCTTATACTTTCAGTTTTCACACATACGAACTAAATTATTTCCAACCCAATTTCCAGTTCTTTTCTGATGCCGGAATACCATGTCCGAGTAGACGAAATCCTTCAGATCACTTTCTTCGATGCATAAATTCGGACTTCGATAGGGTGAATGCCGCATTGCAAGGTTCGCAGAGGTTTCAGGTACCAACTTTTGCTCTACATATAAAACAAACCATCCATATACTAAAATCCTAAGAGAATTAACCAAGGTTTTTGGGTTAATTGCAGGACAAGAGAACCATCTCCACCAGTCATGCATTGTATTCAACAACAGCAGAGATAAAAGCAATGCTTGTTCATAAGTACAGGTGCTCAGAGTATGCAACAGCTGCAAGAACAAGAATTCGAGGAATCTCATCCAGTATTGTAAGTTTGTCAAAACTTCTATCTTTATATACAGTTGGTTGTTGTTGCCAACTAAGATTAAACGCTTACCACCACTTATGGGTAATTAAATATTTATCATCTCTCATGGAGAATCTTACTAATCATTTTGCTAACGACAATCTTATCTGATAAAGTGAGAGTACGATTATAATATGTTTATATGACGTTTTTGGATGTTTTAACAAGTTTTTCAGGCGTTTTTAAAATGAAGTATTGTATTAGCTAGTTTATATTGTAAAGTTGTCCTAAAAAACTTGTTAAAACATTAAAAAATGTTCAATAAACCTATTGTAACACTTTTAGGTTGAATATTTTTTTGTTTGGTGCTATTAACTTATGTTATATACAACATTTTATGGGTCTTATAAACTAATGTGGTTGTAGTGACCAAGACCTGGTTTATGTTGGTAAACGACCCTAAATATCATTCTTAAAGTTAAGTGTCATATAGAAAAACTAATAATACGATTTACTTATTGAGTTTTTTTAGCTTGTCTAGCTTCGTTGATAGGAACTTGTTAGATTGCCTACCTTCATTCTAATAACTAATTATCAAACTATTATATATTAGATTGGCTAACTTCATTCTAATGATTAATTGTTAAAGTATTATACAGGACACATAGTTATTGTTGGTTTTACAAACTGTAATAATTTGGGATTTAGAGATGATAAGAGGGTCGCATAATCTCTTAGGATCGTGTAGAGTACACTTTTCAAATACAATAATTCGTCCTGCCTTGGGTTCACAAATTTAATATTGAGATAATCCTAGAAAAAATCTCTTTTTCAAAGGCTTTGAAATCGAGATATATATACCCCAGAGAATTCTTGTTTACATGCTTATATGAGAGATCGACAGTTACAGACGGTTAAAGGATAAGACTGGATAGCAGTTACAACTGAATCAGAGTTCTTATTCAAGGACTGAAGTCTAATCCTACTAAACCAAAATCAGAATCCAAGTAGCGAACTCTGACTCCAAGTGTAAGTCTGGGTGCACAAATCCAAACTCTAACTCTACAGTCCAAAGTTTTAGACTTTGCCAAATTTTTAAGTTTCGATGACCATACCAAAAATCTGACACTCTAATTTAGAATTTCAGATTTAGACAACTTTCTAAGTCTAGATGTGCAAAGCCAAACTCCAACTCTATAGTCCATAATTAAATCTAGACTTAGCCATTCGATAGGTAATTCAAAACTCTAATCACAATGCCCCAAACTTATACTTAGTGTGATTTTCACCAAGCGGGGAGGCATTACAAAGATGAGGAGTATCAGTGATGGAAAATTCTGTCACAAATCCGTCGCAAGGCATAATCAGTCCCTCGCTTATTCATTGTTGCTCGTCCGTCGGTCAAAAACTCGTAGGTAATGCTATCAGTGATGGATTAGCGACGGTCGGATTTGTGACGGATTAGCAACGAAAAAATTTCAAACGGATTTGCGACGGAAATGTTTCAGCGATGGATTAGCAAGAGACTTCTTTCAGCAGATCTTTCAGAGACGGATTAGCGATGGATTCTTTTAGCAAGGGACTTTTAGCGACGAATTAGCGAGGGACAAGAAACTCTTAATTCGTCGCTAATTTTTAATAATTTAAAAATAAATAAATTATAATTACATAATTCCTATATTTATTTTTACAAAACCTGACCATAAAATAACAAACCAAAATTGTCAACAAACTAAAACTAACCAATTCATACAATTCAAAATATCCAATTCATACAATTTAATATTCAAATTCATAAAATCCAACTACAGGAAGATGGGGGAGGTGGGGAAGGAGGAAAACATATCCTGACTGCCCCATAAACGTAGCAAAATGCTCCTATAACATGATCTATTCAGCCAACTAGGTAGCGTGCCTGGCTTGTTCGGCCAACTGGGCAGCATGTCTGGCATGTTCGGCCTTCAAATCTGCCCTACTCTTCCATTTGGCCTCCATCTCCGCCTGATGGCATTCCTTCCGCAGCCGCACCTCCTCCTCTACCCTTGCCAACTTCTCTCTCAACTCCGCTACCTCTAAATATTCAATATAGAACAAAATCAGTAATTTGTTCCAATGAAAGTTTTGAGAAAGTATATAAGAATATAACCAACTTATTTCCATTGTTGATCTGGTATGATCTCTTGGTGCTACTGCTACATCTACCGATTATAGCATAAGAGGGATCCTATGAGGTCCAGAAACCAAAAAGTCGGCTCTTCTTCCATCCTCTGACACTCTGATCCCAAAGAGATGCCTCATCAGGGGAAGGGGTGTCGACACTAGATTGTGACTCATCCCTAAGCGACTGAAATCGCTCCTATCATTAACCAAAACAAAATTGGGTGAGGTTATATACGTAGAAATTTCAACAGCATAACGACCGTAAATCAATCATATCCGATGTCTGCTTTTAATAATTAAAGCATTATAAATACCAATGGTAGTCACATTCTCAACCTATCTACTTAGCCCAATGTCTGCCCAACAATGGCAGCCCAAACTAATAGTATCACCATAGTTATTAAAATATATTACTTTAAACCTACCAAACGTATCTATAAACCAAAGTAATGATTAAAAAACTTACATAATACCTAGCAGCTTTGGGTAACTGAATTGAGGAGGATCAGTAGGCGGGAACGAACGAACCTGGATCCAATAAATCTGAATAAAGCTTAGTAAAATTGATTAAGGCCCAATAAAACCGAATAAAGTCCATCAATGCTCAATAAAATTGAATAAAGCCCAATAAAGTCTATTAAGGACTAATAAAATGGATTAAAACCCAATAAAACCGAATAAAGCCTAATAAGGTCTATTAAGCCCAGTAAAACTGAATAAAGCCCAATAAAACCGGATAAAGCCCATTAAGGCCCAATAAAATTAAATAAAGACCAATGAATAGATTAAGGCTCAATAAAATCAAATAAAACCCAATAAAGTCTATTAAGGTCTAATAAAATCGATTAAAACCCAATAAAACCGAATAAAGCCTAATAAGGCCTAATAAAACTGAATAAAGCTCAATACAATGGATTAAGACCCAATAAAACCAAATAAAGCCATTAAGGCGCAATAAAACCAAATAAAGCCTAATAAAATTTATTAAGGTCCAATAAAACCAAATAAATCCCAATAAAATGAATTATAACCCAATAAAATGAATTATGACCCAATAAAATCGAATAAAGCCCAAAAAACTAAATAAAGCCCAATAAACTGGATTAAGGCCCAAATAAAACTGAATAAAGCTCATTAAGTCCCAATAAAACTGAATAAAGCACAATAAAATGGATTAAGGCCCCATGAAAACCGAATAAAGCCCATTAAAATGGATTAAGGCCCATAAAACCGAATAAAGCCCAATAAAATGGATTAAGGCCCAATAAAATGGACGAAGACCCAATAAAACCGAATAAAGCCCAATGAAACATTTAAGGCCCAATAAAACGGTATAAAGCCCAAAAAATACACACATATTATCTGTACATTCACATATACACGTACATTTAAACATATATACAACATATATACATTATCCGATACATGAATCTTCAAAAATATATACGTAGATCCAATCGTGGTTAGCAACCAACACACATATGCACACATCATGTGTACATATGTATATAACGTGGGACGACGTGTATATTTACATATAACACATACACATGACACATACACATGTGTACATATAACACACACATTATCTAGACATTCATATACGTATACACTTATATATATATATACACATAATCTAATACATGTATCTTTATTAATATAAACATAGATCTAATTATTGCGGTTAGCAACCAAAACACATATATCTTCATCATATATACATATAACACATATACATATGACACCTACACCTACACATGTGTACATATAACACATAAAAAAATGAGAAAATAAGAAAAATAGGACAATCCCTTGCTGATTAGCGACGGACACGTGGTATCTGTAGTTAATCCGTCGCTGATCAGCGATGGATCTGTGAGGGAAGTGGTTTTTGGTCCATCCTTCGCAGATGCCTCACGGATCAGTGGCAGATCGTGACTGATAGACCAAAAACCATTTCTCTCACAGATCCCTCGTTGATCAACGATGGATTAGTGAGGGAACAAGTTTTTGGTCTATTCGTTGATCCGTCGCTAATCAGCAAGGGATCTGCTAAGGATAAGCCTAAAACCATTTCCCTTACAGATCAAGGACGAATTAGCGAGGGAACTGTTTTTGGCCTATCCGTCATTGATCTTTCGCTCTCGTAGATCCCTCACTGATCAACGATGTATTAGTGAGGGAACTGGTTTTTGGCCTATCCCTCACAGATTCCTCGTTGATCAGCGACAGATAAGCCAAAAAACAGTTCCCTCGGTAATTCATCACTGATTAGCGAGGGATCTGCGAGGGAAATGGTTTTTGTCTTATCCATCGCAAATCTATTTTTCCCTCACTAATAACCGTCGTTGATACTCTGTCTTCTAATAGTGATGGGCTCTACCCCTTGGAACTCCAGTAGGGGCGCTACCCTTGAACCCCACAAGGGGGCGCGAAGTCATTGACCCCCGCTTTATAGCGATCTAAGGTGATTGATACACCATTTGTTATTGTGCATTCCATACCTCCTAACTCAATTATGTTTGCCATATCACTCTAATCGATCTAAAGTAAATCACAATCATACCCAAATAATTGATGACCCTAAAATTTTACCAACACAAACTTTAGTCCTATAATGTATTCTGTTAGGTTGTTTAATGATGTCTATGTGTTATAAAAGACAAAATTTCCATGTTGAGAACATAGTTTGCAAGAATGGACGGTTCTTCAAAAATTACAAAAAAATATATGTGAAAAAAGATTGTGGTATTAGCACCTTTTGTCATTTCCTAAAACAAATTGTGTAGGACTTGACTTTAAAGGATCAAACAAGAGTGTATCATATGTAAATATATTGCAATAAATTAAAAGACATTTTTGCACGTTTCATAAAGTTTTTAAGAACAATTTTGAAGGCCTATGTTTCAGAAATCTCATACAAACATGTCTTTTTATAGAGTATTTGTTTTTGTATGACAATTTTTTGAATAATGTCATAAAAATATTAATAAGACATTTTAATTCAAAAGTGTCCTTAAATACTTGTTAACACGTTAAAAGACGTCCTATAAACTTATTACAACATTTTTATATATAACCTACAATTAATTGTTTGATCATATAAATCTAAGTTCTATTAAGCAGCCTATTATGGTGTCTTATAAACCCGATATCTCTATAGAGATTGCTGTTAAACATGTTCTTTTTCCATTTTCTCAAGAACAGTTGATTGCTTGCAAAGATTTAATCAAAATTTCATTTTTAGATATGATCTATTTAATGATTCAGTGATTAAGAACTTTTGATTTCTAGGAAGGGATTACGATTGAAACACAATGTGGGAGTCGAGCAAGTTGGTGGAAGCAACTTACAACATTGACTAAAAGATCTTTCGTTAACATGTCTAGAGATGTCGGATACTATTGGTTGCGAATAGTGGTATACCTTGTTGTTTCACTCTGTGTTGGTATTGTGTTTTTCAACATCGGTACGAGCTACCGTGCCACGTTCGCCCGTGGAGCTTGTGGTGGATTCATCTCAGGTTTTATGATTTTCATGTCCATTGGAGGCTTCCCTTCATTCATCGAAGAAATGAAGGTATGTAGCATACACTACAACAATATCATTTTTATATGACATCTTTTAGAATAACCGTATATATATATATATATATATATATAGAATATATATAGAATATTGATGTGATTTATATAGTTTGGTAAGGTTTCTTTTCTGTTAATAGTTTCCTAAATAATTAGGTTAGATATCCCTTTACATTGTAATTAAAAATAGGTGAGATTGGTTTGAGCTTGGCTTCAAAGGTCAAAAGTACCAATAGGTCCCAGGTTCAAATCCAAGGAGGATTAAAAATCCCCTTGTGGCCACGGAGGTTCAAATGCGGTGACTCGGGGTTATCTGCAAAGCAGATGGTCGCCCTTGAATTAGTCGGCTCGCATAGCGGGTTGGATATCCAGGTTAATAAAAAAAATAGGTGAGATTGGAGGAAAATAAAGATCAAGGGATTGCTCTCTTTCATGGTATTAGAGCATAACGATCCCTCATTCCCTTCCTCTTCCTCCTCCTCCTCATCTCCTACAAAAAATATGTCTTCGTCTTCCTCGTGTCACCCAGCACTAGCCGTCTCAAATAGCAAGAACCATATTTCCATCGTTCTTGAAATGGAGAATATTGTATGCAAGATGAGCTGAGTTGTTTAAGATTCATGCCCATTGCCATAGGGTCATTCATCACTTCATCAAACCTGATCCCGCAAAGGAAAAGGTCCCCCGCCACCGATGATGAGAAAAAATTATGGTCAACCCTAGATGTGACGGTTCTTCCTTGGATCTATGCTACTATTTCTCATGATCTATTACAAACCATTCTTGAGCCAGATGCTATGACTATGGAGGCTTGGAATCATCTGCGAGACATCTTCCAAATAGACACACTCGGGCCGTTACTCTTGAGCAAGATTTCTCTCACACTCACATGGAGGATTTCTCGAATGCCTCGGCGTATTGTCAGCGGCCCATAGTTTCCTCAGATTAACTTAAGAATGTCGGGGAACCAGTCTCTAATGACCGATTGGTTCTCCAGATGGTTTCCAGTCTCACAGAGGCGTACAATGGGGTTGGGATGGTTCTTCAACAAACCAATTCGCGTCCTCCTTTTTACCAGGATCGTTCGATGCTCAATCTTGAGGAAGCTGGCTTAGCCAAAAAGGTTTCAACATGTTTTCCAGCCGTGATGGCAGTAGTATATCGGGATTCTGACAATACTTCGCACCTTTCCGTCAGGCCTCATCAACCTTGCTACACCAACAAAAGGCTCCTTAATGGTCGTGGAACAAGTCGGAGCAGGCAACCAGGTTGTGGTGACGATCGTGGTAGCAGCGTATGCGAAGGCTCTAGTGGAGCCTTTTTGCCGCAATGGCAGCAACAACAGCAGTGGGGTGCAGGGAATACCCAAACCTGGCAGTGGCCATGGGCTTCCTGGGCGGTTCCTCCTTGCCTTTTTCCCATTCAGCAACAGGCCAAAGACCACTGATACTTGTGGAAGCTAGCATCATGGAGTGTTAGGTCCAAAGCCTTCTCAGGCCTATGCCACCATGCCTGCAAGTCCAAATTCTGTAGTCCAACAACACTCCACATCTTCTCTAACAGACATAGAGGCAGTGATGTTGGGACTTAACCCGCCAGATACAAATGGTATACGGATATTGGGGCTATATTACACATCACATCCACACCATGTACTCTTTCACCTTATTTCAATTTGGGCAAACATCATGGTATTCGTGTTGGCAATGGCCATTCCATTCCTATTCACGATTACGGTCCCACTACCTTTCCTGATCCTAACCACCCATTTACTTTAAACCATGTTCTTCATGCTCCTCATATTATTAAAAACCTAGTGTCTGTTAGAACATTTACCAAGGATAATTCGGAGACTGTCGAATTTGATCCTTTTGGGTTATCTATGAAGGATTTTCGGATGGGAGGCATCTCATGTGAAAGACCCGGTTTACAGAAATGATAAAAGGTTTGTAATACCTCATTTCTATAAATGATAAACAAACCACCAAAAGTTATATTTTTAAACCTTTAGAAAGAAAACGGGATATAATATTTACGAGTTTCTAATTCGAAATGTCCGCTTGGTTTACAAGACGTTTCCGTAAGCACCTGTTTTCCAAAATATCCTAAAACGGACAAAATAAACTTAATAGATTTGCATAAAGCTTAAAATATATACAAGACAGAGGACATTAGCTACCCGTTATCTAGATACTTTAATTACAACCAAAAGACAACTAATAATTTACAATCCATAGTT